TTGAAGCTCCATGACAGGGTGAAGGCACATTTCCTCTGCAGGGTGAGGATTGGGGGATGGGTAAGGTTAGCTGGGGTGAGGGAGTCCAAAGTCTCTCACACAGAAATGTTGGTATTCACTCACACAAACACGGCTCAGGAATCTGTGTCTGTCCTACTGAGACCCCACTCTTGGAGTCTGCCGTTTGAACTCCATAATATTTCACTAGAACTTTTTTTTTGGGGGGGGGTGTTCCTTCACTTTGGTGAAACACAAACACAACCTTTAGCTCGAATTCTCTCTCCAATCTGTCTTTCAGTTGTCTTTTCTGACACTGGTGAAATGTAAGAAAAGAAACATGAAAAAAACAAAGAAAACAAAGAAAAAAAGCATGAGTGGAAATATTCAGGATGTGATGTGAGAAGTCAAGGCCTTGAGGCCAATCCTGGAACTTGTTTTTTAATTCACTTTCTTTGCTCAGAAGTATTGATTGATTTTTTTTTTTTTGTTCTCAAATTAAATTTTCTGTCATTTATTTTCTACGGTTATTATTTTGTGTTTTTTCAGACTTTTTTGCTAATTTCTTTGGTGAAAAAAATGATTTCACACCTTAAAACCTAATTTAATCTTTTTTTTTTTTTACATACTTAATAATAACATTTAGCATCTTTCTAGGCTATCATCTGGGTTCTGTTCTGGTTTGGTAAACTTGTTGCTACTTACTACTTGTGGTTATCTTTTAACTTTTTGTCCATAGTTGTTTGAAACTAATATTTCAGAGTTGTTTCAACTTGTCTGATTTTGTTTTAGTGGAACTTGGCAGTTTTCTTAGATATCTCTTTAGACTTCTTGGACTCTTACTTCCCCTTCAGTTAATTCAGCATTGACTTATAATTTTCAGCGATTTTGTTTTAGTGGAACTTAGTTAGCAGTTTTCTTAAATATCTCTTTAGACTTCTCGGACTCTTACTTCCCCTTCAGTTAATTCAACATTGACTTATAATTTTCAGCATTTCTTCGATCAGCTGTTAACTATGTGGAAACTCTGTGGATTAAATAGGTGATGATTTTGTGTCGAGTCTTTTTAGTAGAATCACTTCAGGTTGACTTTGTAGATCTTGGAGAGCTCTTGGTCATTTCTGCCACAGTGTTTAAGGTATTTATTTAACTTTTTTTATTTCCTTAACACTGATGTATTTATTTTTTTGTCTTAATTTGACTAAGATAAACTTTAAATATTTAGTTTAGTTTCCCCCGAATTAACAGGAAACATTGCGTTCCTGTTGGATTTAGTTCTAGTCATTATTGTAGATTTCCTTTGTGTCGATGCTAACAGTCAACATTCAACTTTGAGATTTTTGCTGCAGGCTAACCTGTATTTGTTGGTTAACCTTTAGCCTCCTCTCGAATTACGGAACGGTTCCAGACTTTCTTGTCATTTTTTTCATAACTACGTTTTGTGCAGTTTATTGTTTTTGACAGTTTCAACTCTTGGAGTTGCTCTCGCTGCACTGGTGCAGAACCCTCTGAGCCAATCAGTAACTCTCTGAGCAGCGAGGCCTCCACCAGCAGCATCTTCAAAAACAGGCCTCCGCGGCGGGGGCTGCAGGGAGGGATGGATGGACGAGTGGGTGGATGTAGTGGAGTGGAGTAGAGTGGGAAAGGGGAGGGTGAATTCCGGAGGGTGGGTGGGCTCTCAGGCTTGGTGGGTGGAGATGAGCCTGTTGTTGTTTCATTCCTTCGGCGTGTTTTTCCCTCTTTCCTCGTAACCGGGAATAACCTCCTGAGGAACGTCCCACCAGGGGAGATGTGAGATAAGAAGCTGAGTTTCTCAATGAACACACTTCTCCTTTTCTTTCCTCCCCCCTCTCCCTCTCTCCCTCTCTCCTTCTCCCTCTCTCAGGCGTGTTGTTATTGATCTTCTGTGTGGTCCTGTGGAACCACAGCCGTACAGTCTGTGGTTCCACACTGTGTCCAATGAGGATGGAACTTATCAAGAAAAAAAGGAAACGTCAATAAAAAAGGAATTAAATCTATTTTAAAAATATTTTTATTCTGGGATAACCTGGATGAATATTTCCAGACGTTTATGACAGAAAAAAATAAAAGTTATCAAAACAAGTCAGTACAGACAGTGTTGTCAGTAAAGCTGACATTTACATTACATTTTTAGGGGCCATTTTTGATTCTTTAGCTTTCTCTAAATGTTCAAATTCTGTCAGTTAATACTCATTAATTCCAGTTTGTTACATATATTCATATATATTTGTGTTGCTTGTGTTTTTGTGTCTGTGGTTCACATTTACAGTAGTTGTCATTTTTCTAATTGAACCTTTTTCTTGATTTTTTTTAAACCTTCAGCTGATTAGCCTTTAGCTTAGCCTTAGATCTGTTGCCAATTTGTTAGCTCTAATTTATTATTTAGCTAATTACTCTTCATAAGTAATCCTTAGCTCCATTATTTCAGTGTAATTTCATATATTTTACCCAATTATGATTAAACTATTGTATTTTTATTTATTAGCTTTCAGTTATTTTTTACACAGTTTTATTTTGTATTTTTGATGGTCTTTTGCATAAATATTTAGTTTCATCTTAGCTAATGTATATATGACCATTTTCTACCTATACCTGCTAACTTTTACTATTTTATTTTCTGCTAAAATACTTTTAATCTTGGTTTGGCTAATATTTAGCTATATTTTTTGCAAACTTTGAGCATTTTCTAGCTAATTTTTGGCATTTTCTTAACCAGTTATCAGGCGTCAGCTACAGTCTTCACAAGTGTCTGTACTTCAGACCAGCATTGTTCTAAAAACATTGTGGATAAACGTTTTTAGTAGAAGAATTTTTAGTAGAATCTTCACTGGTAGAATGTATGAATTTCTTCCATTTTCATGTTTCTTCTCGTCTGACTAAATATAAATGAAGAACATCATTTCACTGGTAGAATGTATGAGTTTCTTCTCATCTGACTAAATATAAATGAAGAACATCAGACATTTTGTGGGAATATTATCTTGAAAGACATTGAATTTATTTTCCTTCTTTTTTTTTTTTTTGCCATTCAACCGTCGTGTCACCACGCAGTAAAAACCAAACGTCTCTGCCCTGAAGGATTGATCCATTTTCCATTGACAGCTTCAGATCACAGACGTCATGAACATCAGCCTTCACTGTTGTTTTTCACACGCATTCCAAAGCTGTGAGTTCAGCCCTCCTTTGGTTGGTGCCCACACCACGATGCTGGGAGGTGGTGACTGCTGGTCGTACGTTATAGGAACATGAGGAAAACGAGGAAAACAACATGTGAGAAAACAGAGACAGTGATGGTGCGGAGCCGTTTCTGTGCTGCTTCAGGGACAAAGATTTATCGGTTGTGATTGATCAGTGGGATTTTGACTCTGCTGTTTGGATCAGTTTTCACTGTCCAAACCAGAAGACTGCGTTGTTTTGGACATGTCCGACAGTTACACTCAGACATGTCACGGTCAATAAATGTCAGTGAAATAAACAGGGAAAAATAATCAGCATTTTACGGTGGCTGCAACTCTTCTGGGAGTTTTGAAGAAATGTATAAATATATTTTATTTTACAGTAGAGTTGACACGTCTGTTCAAAATGCAATCATTTAAAAAAAATTTAATTCATTACTCTTTCTTTGCCCCTGGAAGTCCTTAAATTAATTCACTACTCTTTCTTTGCCCCTGGAAGTCCTTCTACTGTGGGCTGTGTCCCTGTGGGCTGTGACCCTGTGGGCTGTGTCCCTGTGGGCTGTGTCCCTGTGGGCTGTGTCCCACTCTCTGTTGATCGGTTGGTCTTTGAGATAAACTCAGCTTTGTCTTAAATGTCATAGAATTATTATTATACTTCTTCCGTTTATTTTACTGAAGGGTCTGGGCTCGATGCTGATTGGATAACTGTGTTTCTTCGATGTCCAAACAGACTCGGTTCCTGACACGGGTTGGGTATTTTGTGCGGACCACAACTGATCTGTAAGGACTGGGTACACGTGGCTCTGAGTGAGGTCTCCTCTGGGGGGAGCTGCTGGAGCTGATCTGTCAGATGGTGTTTGGAGTCATCGTTTCTTCAGGCCGTGTCCATGAGCGTCATGTTGAACCTGGTGGGGGGAGAATTGAATGGCTTCTGCCACGTTCACCACAGAGTTGTCTTTTCACTGATGGCCTCAACACATTGTTGATGCTCCAAAGATTTCATGGTCATCGTTCAGACATTGTCTCAGTTCAGATGATGATGGACTCAGTCAACTCTCAGTCTGGGAGGTGCTGATCCCGTCCGTGGTCAGAAGACTGTTTCTGGACTTGTTGGTTCTGCAGACCTGGGGTTGAGCCTCACTTGATGTGATTCATTTTTCACTTCTAACCCTAACCCCCCCCCCAGAAAACCAAACTATCTGTCCAAGTCCTTCATCATTTCTCCACAGGGGCTTTACTTCCAATCTGAGGACTGTTTGAATCCCTGTACTCTCTGTACAGCGCAGCACGGCGCTCCTGTGTGTTTGCTGATAATCAGTGTAATCACAGAGTGCTACAGAAAATAACCGTGTCTCAGAAAAGCCTGTTTTTTTTTTTTATTCTGCTGCAGTCTGAACAAAGGTTCAGTCGTCAGCACATTGTCTTAGATTCACAGACACAGGCTGGAAACAATACAGATGATTTTTTTCCAAAAATAAAATTCTCACCCAATTTTCTTTGCCTGGGTCTCTGTGAAGATTCGTCCTCCCTCCGTCTTTGGAGAGGACGCTCCAGGTTGGACAGTGATAAAGATAAGGTGAGGGGCAGTGAGACACCTTCTCAAGGACACACGGTACAACAGGATTTAAAGCAGTGAACAATGGATTAAAAGGAAAAAAACAGCAAAAATATATTTATTTTATATTGTATTTATAAATAAATAATTACATATATACCTTTAAAGGTATTACTTACCTATAATATACATATATACATACATAAATGCACATATCCATATGTATGTCTGTGTATGATGGGTTGTTTTCTTTTTTTGTTTTTGTTTTTGTTAACTGTTGACTCTTTGCGTTTTTGGAGGTTATTGTCGATGTTGCCGACGGTTTAGAGTCCGATTCCCTCTTTTTCTTGTTCCTCCCGAGAAGCCAGGAAAAAAATATTGCATGTAAATGACCGCGTCACGTGACGTGACTACGGGAACGGGCACAGCCAGCTCCAGAGCGAATGAGAGCGAAGGAAAGGGAGAGAGAGAGAGAGAGAGGGAGGGAGGGAGGGATGGAGGTGGGGTGTATGTGAATATGTGTGAGAGGGAGGCAGAGATCAGTAGTGAGCTGGTGAAGCTGAGGAAAAGCAGGGACTTGGAGGGAAGAGACGGAGAGACATGAGAAGAAAAACATCCAGAGGCAGAACGCACGCCATACCATGCGACCACTGTTGACCGACCGAGTGCAGGATGTCGGATTAATGGTGACCACCGCTGCCCGATCACGCACTGGAAGCTTCTGTAACGCAACTTGGGCGCAGCAGAGGGTCCGCGGGGAAACATGGCCGAAGGTTATTCTGCAATTATTGCTGTTTTTTTTGTTGTTTTTTTTTTTTTTGTCTCTGTAAATCTAAAGGGGTTTGCGCGCAAAGGCGAGGATAAGACAGAAATAGAGCAGGAGGAGGAGGAGGAGGAGGAGGAGGAGGAGTAAAGGCAAGGTGCAAGGAGGTTGTTGTTTCTTTAGAGGGGAGAAAGGGAGAATGAAGCGCCCCTGCCGAGCACCATATGTAACCATGTTCCAGTGCATGATGGTGTCAGTCAATGTAAAGATTGTATGCGCCGCCGCTGGTGCTGCTGCTGCTGGTGCTGCTGCTGGTGCTGCTGCTGCTGGTGCTGCTGCTGCTGGGTGAAGATCCACGTGCACACCTGCCTCTGAGATCATCTCCAAACTGTAGATCCTCTCCAGAGAAGAAAGACAGAGATAGAAACTACCAGGAGTTCCACAGTTAGAGGGCAGTCATCTGTCATCACTAAGTCGGAGCAACAAACTTAGTGTTTCAGGCAGTGGGAGGAGGTCGGTGGGTCGGGTTTGGAGCAGGGAGGACCGTGAATGCGTCTTAGATCTGATCCAGTCCAATCTGATTGTATGATTTTTTTTTTAATTTTTAATTTTTTGGTAACTCCAGCAGCAGCAGCAGCAGCGGGATCTCCTCCCGTGTCTCTCTGCTTCACCCAGCACAAAGGGGATTTCCCTGTCCTTATAGCCACGCTCTCCTTTCCTGTCGTTATTACGCATGGGCCACGAGTTTGCTCTAACGAACGTAAAATGCGCGCAATCTGGTCTCCAGTTGTGTCTGTCGGGTTAATTGTGGGCCCCATCTGCTCTGGTTTCACTGTGCAGGAGGGCCGGGTAAAGGTAGCGGAGAAGACCCCGCCAAGTCCACCGAGCAGGAGGACCGGCCTCGACCCCAGCACATCCTGTCGGGAACGGGCTTCTGCAAATGGTTCAACGTCCGGATGGGCTTTGGATTTATCTCAATGAGCAACAGGGAGGGGGCCCCCCTCGACCCTCCTCAGGATGTTTTCGTCCACCAAGTGAGTGAATCTTCTTGAATCTCTGATTGTGGCCATGTCCTGCAGTGTCGGGCCATTATTCAATGTACATGCGATCGAGATTACGAAATGGTGATGTCAAAGCTGTGGCTCGGGGGCAGAAACTGGCCCACAGTGAGGCCTCTCCTGGTCCTTCAGTTATTTTTGCTAAACCTAAATATTATTTAATGTAAATGTTTATTTTCTTTTATTAAAAACACACACATGGCGATTTTCATTCAGTCTAACCTGTTAGTGCTGTGGACATATATAGACATATTGATAATACTTCAGGTGCAGATACATTTTACATAATTAACAAAAATCCCAGCACAGAAAAAAGTAGCAAAATCAAACTAAAATATAGGAAGTTGTCCTAAATACACTGATGTAGAAATAAAACAAGTCAGTTATCTAACAACAGCCAAACAGAGCTGTGAGACGTCCATTAAAACCCTGAATGAAAATGTCTCATAGGAAGCAAAGAAATGTCAATTTTTGAATAAAAAACCCCCAAAAAGCTAAGCCACGCTGAGCTGAGTCAGAGCTTGTTTTAAGGTTAGGCCAGAAAAAACATACCAGATAGCCAAAGCTATTAAAATGTTAGCCAGAAATGCGCAAATAGCTATAAATTTAACTACAGTCAAGTTAAAAAAAGCCACAAAATTTAGAAACAGTCAACTGCTGACTATGAAATCAAGTTAAAGGCCAGGTCTTCAAAGGTACTTGACTTTGACCTGAGACGAGGTGGTTTTTGTCCCGGCTCAGTTTTAACTGTCGGTTCAAAAACCTTCAGGCCTCTTTGACTGTGTTGTTTCTCTTGCATCACAACGCTAACATCCGGATGTTTTGCATTGTCCAACGTGTTACTGTGTAGTCACATGTACACACCAACACACACACACACACTGAACCACAGGCCTCCACCTTTCCCCTCCTCCACTGCTATATTTTCCTTCCTTCTGTAGTGAAATAAAGTGAAGTGAAGTGTCATATGGCTCTGACACACAGGCAGTTTCACACTCTCTCCTGAGTGTACACACACACACACACACACACACACACACACACAGAGATCTTTCTTAGTCCACAGCCAGACAAACACGTTGGAGAACGTGTTTTTTTTTCAACGTCACACTGTGTTCCTGGAGGCTGACACTGGTTTACTTTGTCTTTAACATTTGTTGTCTGTTTCGGAAAAAAAAAAAATTGCAAAAAATTCCCACAAAGTTTACATCTGGGTCAAATAAACCTTTCCCTTGTTTAACACATTAAACCCTCTATTTTGGAAGTGTTATTGCTGCATAAAGCACTGATCTGCTCAACGGTTCTCGGTCACTGTTGATGTCAGCGATGATCCAGTCAACAGAGCAGACAGCTCAGGTTCATACGCTGCAAAGTTAAGTCTGGTCCTGTCCTGGGAATATTTAATGCAGGACTACTTCAGGGTGCAAAGGTCATGCACGTTCAGCAGAAGGTTCTGGTGTGTCTGGAGATGTTGACTGAGTTAGAACCATTGTTTTAATACTGTCCTGTGAAGACTTAGCCGTCTTTCGCCCAACACTTTGCCCTCGTCCTTGGCTTGTATTAAAGTTTGTTGTTGTCAGAGTTTAATTATGACAATTTATTTGGATTTCTGCGTCTAAAGGTAGATTCAGCGTGTCCTGATATTTTTTGATTTTGCAACAACTTTCCTGGAAATGCGCATGTTGTGTTTCCGCCCCCCCTCCCCCAAAAAAAAGAAAACCACCTCTCACATTCACACGTGTTCTGCACGACATGTGCTCCTGTTGATTTATAGTGTGTGGAGTTCATTTTGGAGGCCTTGTTTTTGAATTGTTCTGCAGCAGAAGACGCCTCAGCTCCTGCACTCCCCTCCCGTTAAATCGCCCCTTTTACGGTGTCATAAAGCAGCTTTAAGACACTGGAGGAGGAAAGTCCAAGGATGAGGAGAGGGGAAGCTTTTCCACTCTGACACCCTCTCCTGGAGGTGTCTCAATAATTCAGGTCTCCTGGGGATGAGGAGAAGGTTAGAGGAGTCAGATGTCAGAAATGTAGAGGTGATTACAGAGGGATGGTTTGACTCGGTGCATGGGAAATAAAAAAAAAATGGTTCCATCAGAAAAGTATTGATCCATCAGACCTTTTTAGGTTCAGCCCGCTGCTGCAGTTTGACAGGAAAATTATGGTTATTTTCCAGATTTCGTTTTGTTTTTCTGCACTGCACTGTGGATAACAAGCACTTAGAAGCATTTTGCAACTGTTTCTTTGACTTTTGTAACAATATATCTATTCTCAGTCTTCTGCACAACCTGCAAATGTGTTTCTTTGTCAGACTGTAAAAATAGTCTAAGATAAAAGCATATCATTATATCAAAAAAATACAGAGGAGGATACTGGAAGAAATAGATTTTAGACAAAAGAAAATTAATGTTTGTTTTTATATCGAGTCAAAATTATGAAGCCAAAAATATATAATATATAATAATAAAATATCCAATATATGTATAAATATATTTATGTTCAAATATGTGTCAATATATATAGACATATATACATATACAGTATATATATATATAGGTTAAGGCCTTAACTAGAAGTACTCTTAAAAACAAAATTTTATTCATAAATAATTGATCAATATGGAGTGTGATTTTATAACACTTGCATTTACTAAGATTTGTGTTTGGTGGTTGAGATTGTTGTCAGTTTCTGATGGACATTTTGATATGATAAAGTTTAGGTTTTTAACAGCACAGGATGTAGTTAGAGTTTGTGAAAGTCCAGGAATCAGAGATCACATGAATAGCTTTTGTACGGCCCACGAATTATTTTCTGCCTTTCTCCTCCAGGCTAATGGCTAATTATGTTGTGTTTGTCTTTTTCTGTCTGTGGTTTAAGTTGTCCTTCAGCTAATGTGGACTTTTTTAATCTAATGTTTAGTTTGTTTTTGCTGTTTACTTATTTAGTCATCACTGGAAGAATTAGCGCCTGTCTTTTAGTTGTATAATTGTTATTATCTTTCAGCTAATTTAGCTTGGCTTAACAATAATTGTCTTAATGTTTTTCCAGCTGTTTCCTGACCAACCTTTGGTTGTTTTTAATAACATTTAATTTGTAACCACTGTGTGAGTGTTTAAGTGAATGTTTCGCTATTTAAAACCTGGACTGTAGTTATATTTTAAATGTACTTTTTCCATTTTGATAACCACTCGCTCCAACTTTGTGCTTTTTTTATCAAGTAATTTTTCTTCTAATAACGATTGGTCAAATACTGATCATGTGACAGTGGTTCTTATTGTGTTTATAGTCAAGACACAGGGATTAGATGTGAAACGTCTCCTTAATCCTTGTGGTTCATTAATTATTTATATTATTGTAATTTATTTTTATTTTGCGCCTGAGCTGACGACCTGACGTCATATCCAAATATTTAAACTACTTTTGAGGGTTTTTTTTTTTCAATTTAAGGTTTGTTCTAATTGGTAAACATTGAGATTATTTATTTATAAACTTTGATTTAATTGTGAATATTTTATTTCTTTTTTTAAAATAAATGTATAATTAACAATTGGATTTATTTTTCAAAACGCCGAGTGGAAAAACTGTCTTTATATCAATTAATTCTAAAACGTCTTGATTCTGAATTTTCCCTCATGTAATTGTGACTTAAAGGTAGGAGACTTTTTTTTCCAAAATAAAATAATAGTCAGAATGATGGCATTTTTCCGCTACTCAAAATACTAAGATTAGGTAGAATTGTGGGATTAAAATCATATTGTTGAATTCTTACCAAAACACATGACTTTAATTAAATCGTGTTTTATTTTTTATTCTTTTTTTTTTTCTGGCTTTAAAGTCAGAAGGTTTTGTCGTCGTGTTTTAATCTCTTTATTCCGACCTTAATGTCAGGATCAGTTGAGCTGTGAGTCATAAGTCATGTGACCCTTATCCTTGTGTTCTGTACAGAGGTCTGGAAGTATTGTCTTTATTTCTCATACGAGGTTAACAGTCAGTGGCACGAAAAACAAGCAAATTTATTCCTCTTCCACCATTGACCATAATTCGAACAAGACGCACACAGGGAGCGAGGAAGGGGCTGCACAGGGAGGGGAAAAGGGAGCATGAGGACAGGAGGAAGACGAGAGGAGAGAGGAGGAGGAGAGCACAGGAGGAGGAGGGATGTGGGAAAAATAAGAGTGGGTGAGGGGGCGGCAGGGCGGGGAGCGCGTGGAAGCCAGGGAGGAAAACATGAGCAAGAGGTTGGAAAAAGACGAGGGAGTTGGAGGTGAGAGGAGGGCGTTTGAAAGAGGGTGTGTGTGTGTGTGTGTGTGTGTGTGAGAGAGAGAGAGGGGGGAAGTCGGTAAGGGTGAGGCTCCCCCTTCTGACCACAAGCTGTCTTCATGGGAGGCCTCTCCATCAGGTTCTCCTCCACTATCTGATGTTTTCCTTTAGGAGAAAAATGAAGGTGAAGCCGACGTCTGATTATTCACCTTCATCATCTCCTCCTCCTCTACCTGTGTGTGTGAGAGAGAGAGAGAAAGAGAGAGAGAGAGAGCTCCTGGTGGGACATGGGGGGGTAGGAGAGGTGCTGCTCGAGCTCTCTCTCCTCAGGCATTCTTTAAAAAGAGGAATTTCTTTAAAGACAAAAAAGCAAGAGGGTAGGGTAGGGTGAGGTGGGGGGTGAGGTGGGTGGGAGGGGGCTGCTTGCCCTTTGTGGGTAATCAGTTTGAAATGTTGAACAGTTTGCTGCTGCCGAAACCTCCACTGTGTGTGTGTGTGTGTGTGTGTGTGTGTGTCTTACTTTCCTGTCTTTAACTGCCAGGTAGTTGATGTCTACATGTGAAGCGTTCAGAGGTGTGTTCCACTGCATGTGTGTGTCTGTGTGATTGCACCAGTGTGTGTGTGTGTGTGTGTGTTTTTTTCAGAGGAGAAGGTTAAAGTGGGCCCCTAGTGAGATTAACCTCTGGTCCGTGTCACCGTTTGGCATGCAGGCCCCACCC